CCCCACACATGGGCTGAGCATCCCCCCCCTCCCCACGGCCGCTGCTCTAGTGACACTTGCCATGAGCATCTGGGGGTTTTTGGAGCGTGAACCTGTACGGGAATGCAAATGTTTCTTGGCTTGATGCCGGCACAGGAAGGAAGTTCAAGCCCTGGCACCAACCACCAGAAATCCTGTCGAAACGCTCCTGGTGCTGGGCTGGGGGGTGGGGGGGATTTCCCTGCCCAAGCATCTCTCCCAGCGCCGGGTTTGGCCACGGTTGGAGATGCAGGACTGAGAGGCAGTGGTGGTGAGGAGGGGGCTGCTTGGTCCTGCGAGGGGGGATCCCTGAGGGCTTGTACCCCCCCCTGCTCTGTGGGGCTGGGTCTTCTCACCACAACCCTCTTCCAGCCCTGAGCCCTGGGCTGGCTGGTGGTGTGAGCCACAGGCAGGTGCCAAAAACCCAGAGAACACACCTCAAAACAGGCTTCCTGATGTTTGGGTGGTTGCTACGATGGCTGCAAAGTGGGGGGCCGGGAAGTGGGGGGGTGGGCTCTGCTCCCAGCCCTGGCACAGCTCTCAGGCCATGGGGGGTGTCACGGCCCAGGGGAGCCAGTAAAAAATGCAGAATTAAAACCAGGGAGGGCAAATTCCTGCTTCCTCCTGCTGACTGGTGCTGGCCCGTGTTGGTGTGGTTTGGAAAGGCAAAACTAAACCCTGGGGGAGGCCGGGCAGAGTTTTCTTGGCTCTCTACAGCTTGGAAAAGCCAGAATGAGTCACTGCCCCTCATCTCAAGAAGCTTTTCCCAGAAGCAGTGGGCAGGGGGGATGCAGATTTCCCAATGAAGGGACTTTTGCCCAGAATGATTTTCAGCTGATTAAAAAAAAGTGACATCCCACAGTGGGAATCATCCACCTGAGAGCTCTCAGGGCACCAGGGATGCCCAAATGGAGCAGGATGGTGCCTCCCTGGCTGCTCCAGGAGCCCTAAGGGAGACAGGAGATGCTGGGCCATCCCTGTTTCCCACCTGTGGGATTTTCTCAGAAACCACCAGTCTCCTTCAGAACTAACCCCCCAAACCCTCCTGCTCTGCACCTTCTCTCCTTCAAATCCTTGCAGCCCTGACCACAGGGGAGCAGAGAAGTGGGGATGAGATTCCCAACCCAGCAACAGGCTCCTTCTCTACCCTGCCAAAAAGTTCCTCCTGAAACTTGGTGGAGTCACTAAAGCACTGTGACATCAGCAGTGGTTTCTGCTAGCGAGCAGCCCTGCTTCCTGTTGTGCCTGGGCTCTTAAAAATATGTATATATTTCAGCACATATAGGTGCAGGCTGCCACTGAGGTCACCCTCCTTCTTCCCAGAGCCTCTTCCCACAACATCCAACTCCCTTCCTTGCAGCGCCGGCCGCGAGGACCCGGTGGCAGGGCTGGAGAGCTGAGTCCTGCTGAGAGGATGAGAACATGGGGCACAAGTTCTCCTGCCTGAAAGGTAAGTTTGGGAGGGGGCTGGGCTTCCTGCTTCCTCCCTGAAGGCGTCTGGGGGGTGGTTGGGTGGTTCTTGGGTGGTTTGGGGAGGTTTGGGATCTTGGTGGTATTTAAGTGACAGGTGACCTGTTGTCCCCCCTATAAAAATGTCAGGTGTGCTTGCTCCTGCATCCTTGGCTTCAGAGCATCCTTGTGTTGCTGGGATCCCTCAAGGAATCAGGTGGGGTTTTTTTAGAGGTGGGAAAGAGCCAGGATGGATGGGATGCTCGGGATCAGCCCAGGGTACCCTGGCTCCTGGGCTCTGGGCTGACCCCGAGCATCCTTCATTGATCCCCCTTTCCCCAGGGATATTCCAGCCCAGGAGCTTCTATCCTGCTGTTTTCCCCCAGGGATATTCCAGCCCAGGAGCTTTCTCTCCTGCTGTTCCCCCCCCGCCCCGACTTTAATCTTCTTAATGGGAATGGCAGCAGGGCTGTCTGCAGGGAGAAGGAAGTGAAGGCTGGATATTGCATCTCCCATTAGCTCTGCATCCCCCAAGGGACTTGTATTAATCATCCCAGGGCTCGTTAGGGATGGGAGCTAACGAGCATCCCACTCTAAAATGCAGAGCTGCTCCTTCCCTGGCTTTTCCCAAGCCACACTCCTCCCTGAGATGCTGGCAGTGGTGGGCAAGGCTTTTGACTGCACCACCCAAAAAATCAGCCCTGCACCCATATCCCCCCTCCCCATGTCAGGGATGGGGTGGGGGTCCCACAGACCCCCCCAGAGGGAGTGACCAGAGAGGGGAAACTGAGGCAGGGAAGCCTCCTCCTTCCTTCCATCGTTCCCAAAGCCAGGGCAGGCCCCCTCAAAATGCCCCTCCAAATACCTCTGACAATCCTGCAACAAAAGACCCCCCTCCTCGTTCCCTCCCGTGCCCAACTCCCTGATGCAAGGCAGGGATTGATCCTTCATTAAAAAGAGATTAAAAATATCAATGTCTGTCCCCTCAGGGCATTTTCCTGCTTGGGAAGAGCTGAAACCTCCCTGGCTGCTGCCTGTGCCTGCCGGGGCTTATCTCCTGATTAAAACAGCAACGAAAAATAATAATAACAAGAATAATAATAATAATAATGAAAAGCAGATTAAAGTGATCAGCAGCCCCGGGGAGGGAGGAGGGGAAAGGGGCTGGGCAGGTGGGGGGGGGGGATGCTGTGGTATCCACCTCTGTCAGACACCCCGAAAGTGCAGGGTGAGGAGGAGGTGCGAGGCTGCACCTGGCTGCTGTGGATTCTCTAAGGGCTCGTAAAGGGGTTGAGCAAGACGTGGAAGGCAGGGAGTGTGTGTGGGGGGGCTGCTGCAGGGCACCCCCCCTCCACCTCCCCAACCAGATCTTCTTTTCCCCGATTTCTGCAGGTTTGAAGACGTGTGTGAGCAGCAGGGAGGACAGCGAGGGGACCCCGGTGACACCCCCGGGGAACAACCACCTGGACGTGCCCTCCATCATCGTCACTCCCCCCACGCCCACGGGAACCGCCCTGTCCCGGGAACCCCGGCAGGCGGGGGGGGCAGCGCCCTGCAACCCGTGCTGAGCCTGGGGGGGGAGCACTGCCGGATCCCCGGGATGGAGCCTGATCCCCAGGGATGGAGCCTGATCCCCAGGGATGGAGCCTGATCCCCCGGGATGGAGCCTGGATCCCTCGGGGGGGAGCCTGATCCCCCGGGATGGAGCCTGATCCCCTGGGATCGAGCCTGATCCCCCGGGATGGAGCCTGATCCCCTGGGATGGAGCCTGATCCCCAGGGATGGAGCCTGATCCCCAGGGATGGAGCCTGATTCCCGGGATGGAGCCTGATTCCCAGGGATGGAGTCTGATCCCCAGGGATGGAGCCTGATCCCCTGGGATGAAGCCTGATCCCCTGGGATGGAGCCTGATCCTCAGGATGGAGCCTGATCCCCCGGGATGGAGCCTGATCCCCCGGGATGGAGCCTGATCCCCTGGGATGGAGCCTGATCCCCAGGGATGGAGCTTGATCCCTGGGATGGAGCCTGATCCCCGGGATGGGG